CCCCCGGCCCCGGTAGTTCCGCCACTGTACATAAAGGAGATTGACCATCACTTCCTGTCAATGTGATATTTGTTGGAGAGACTAAGAAGGAATCTCACTCCTCTCTCTGGTAGTATATAAAACCTAAAAAGTTCTAACCCTTCCTCACGCTAGCCAAACTTGTTTTTTTTGTATTCTGCATTGAGTATGGAATGGTTAAAACCCCTATTTACTTTGTTTTGCCATTTGTGTCTCATTGAGGTGATTTTATTTTATTTACTGTGCTGTAGACACAACAGGAAGTGAGAGGAAACTTCACATAGAGAGGGAAATTCTCTCCTAGAAAGTACAGTAGACAACAGAACCAGTGTTACCATTGGAAGATTTCCCCTCTATTGCTTTACTGGTGACAACTCAAATTTTGGGATTTTCCCATCAGTTTTAGTCTTGATGACAGTGGTCAACCAGGACAAATGGAGATTGTAAATCTACAAAATGGGAACACAGACAGCAACAAAAAGTTCACATGCGTTCTAATCCCTCACAACCCTATTTAAAATTAAAAAGGTTTTAGATTCATTTTGAGAAAAATGTTTTGGCTGAGCTTTAGATTGCATCTTGTTTGTAGTGGTGGTCATTTCATGGGGCTTCCCCCAGAAAGATTAGTTTTCAGCTTCATGGAAATGTAACTTAAACAAAGAAATAAGGATGAGATACTTACGGTGGTTTGAGGATGTCAGGCTGGTCATACAGCATTCTAGAAAGGTTTTATAGAACAAGCAGAGTGAATTAATATCAAAAGCTACAAAAAGGCAATCCTAACCATGCAGTTGTCTCTTGACGGCTTTCTTTATACCTTAAAGGCTAAGTTTACCTTTTGGACCATGCTTCATGTTACACCCATAATTACATTGCAACCTCCCATCCTCTTCACCCCTCCCCATTTACTTGAATAGTGGGGTTCTTGCCGCAGCCTGCTGCACTTTTTTGAAGCTGGTCCAATTGTGCATGACTCCACCCACACAGTCTCGTCAGCCATTCATAGATCTTTTGACAGAATATGTAACTGGAGAAACTACAAGTCCTATTAGCTACCGAAGCAGAGGGAGGTGTAGTTTTCAATGGAATACAAGGGCAGTAACATCACCGCACTTGTAGTCCATTCATTCTTCCTCCTGTTTATGCTACTGAACCTCTTTAACTCAGTACAAACATGGACAAAAGGAAGAATCTGTAGCAGCCAGAACACTGCACCTGTGATCCACTGGTCATGGTTGTGTAGCACCTATGTGAGTTGCTACAAAATCAGCTCTAACTCTGCTTGTAAATAGTTAAATGACATTGTGCAGGCTGTGATACAGAGTAGACATGTAAGCTGTGGAAAAATTTGTTTCGGTTCAGATTTTTCATTATTTCGGGGTTCAGGATGCGGGTCCGAAATTCAATTTGGTTTGGGGGTTCGGATTTGGACGAAATTCGAATTTCCGTTAGTTTCGGATGAGTTTCCGAATTAATATTTTTTGTAACTAACACAAAAAACCATATACAGATATTTATACTAAAGCTGGATCTCCTAGCCCCGAATGGCATTTGAGAGTCTGAATTTCAGAATACCATTAGGTAGCTCCAGCAAGCAATACGGGTCTGGGAGCCATATACATACATAATATTAATCACTTGCCGGCCGTTAATAATAGGAACTTCTTGGATGTAATAGGCCATCTAAAGATGGTATGTTAGCCCCGCCCACTAGTGCGCGCCGCACGTGGTCTGCTGTCCCCGGTGCGAGCCCAGGACCGGCACAGTGGCTCTGTGACAGGGGATGAGAGGGAGATCAGTACACGATCCATGAAGTAAAATGGATATACCTGTTGGAAACAGTGTCCAAAAGGATTAAATATAGAATTGGACCTCAATTGTTTTTAAAGTAATGATTTAAATGAGGGGATATGTTGTATGAATAAAATTAATATACAGGGTTATTCACAAAAGGGTGAAGAGTTTGGAGAAGGCCGGAGAAGTGAACAATCTAGGCGAAAATAGCTGATTTGGAAAAATTCTCCAATTCAGCTCACTTTCCAGTTCAGCTATGTTGTCCGAGATTGCTCACTTCTCCTGCCTTCTCCAAACTCTTCACCCTTTTGTGAATAACCCTGATAGTTTCCTTAGGAGAGATATTGAGGATTGCTCGAGCCCAAGGATGTAAATACAAATGGATAATAGTAGAGAAAGTTTATTTAGGAATATGCAATACCCCCTGAGTGATATATGTTTAAGCATTTAGGCTTATCCATTTATTTAGGTATTTTAGTATGGAATGGTTTTACAGTAAATATAAATAATAATTTCATTTATTTATGAAGTATATTTGTAATATTTTATACATGATCAAATGCTGATCATCCACCATTGTAAAACTATCCTATTTTGTTTATGGAAATGAGGACATCTAGTGCATGAAATTGGAATAGTAGATCTGTATTTAAAGTATTAGCCCTCATTCACACTTTAATCGGCTGGGTAGGACAGGTGCTGCGTGTGATTAGTACGCAGTCCCGGTCCTTCTCTATGGGACTATATGGCCGTACGCCCCCCCTACGCACACCTCAAGTGCAGGTTCGTAGGGGTGCGTGTTTCCTCGCTCGGACGCAGACAGGATCCATCCTGTCAGCGTACGAGTACGCTCACCCGCAGCCGCATGGACGTGCACGGAAAGCTCTACCCTCTTACTGTTTACACGGAGCAGAGCGGAGAACGGAAGTTCTCTGCTCTGCTTCCCCCTCTCCATCCTAAAGGTCTCCAAAGAGAGGCGGCCAGCGAGGAGAGGGGGGTTGTGAGTTTGGGGTTCAGGTTGGACAGACCTGCAATCTCATTACAAGTGATCTTGGCGACATCAATCACTGTATAAGAACAAAGAAATGTGGCTACATCATTATTTTGGGATACATCACTATTTTTGGGGATCTATCACTATATGTTGTATTTGTGTCATTGTGATTATCACCTTTATTTTGTAATTGTCACAAGAATGACAAGAAAACGCAGAGCAAATAACATTTATTATAGTTTATAAAAGTAAAGACATTACAGACAGACTATCTGTCTGAAAATAGAAAATTATTAAGCAGCATAATATACTGGGCATGTGTTCTCTGTTATAGAAATTATCCACATCAGTAGACTGACCTTTGTACACATATCCCACCCCCCTAGGCACATATACTTGGCACACTGCTAAAGCAAGCCCTTGGTAACACAGTGGGGCTATCGGGAAGGGGGGGGGGGGAATCATTTGATGATTCAAAAGACTGCAGGATAAGCCAACAGAGAATCATCATCGGTCAGTGTGGCTTGTCCTGGTGGAAACACGCAATTGCTTGACCTGTCCTTATGAAAATGCTCGCTGTCAGGTTGTCATGCTGACCTCTTTCTTTAGCACTTTGAGCCATTGACACAGAGCAAATATACAGATAAGGATAACCACAAAAAAACTATTTTTTTTTATACTGTGAACTCTCAGATGTAACCTTACTATGAAAGTACCCAACATCAGATATCAAAACCAAAATTGAAATAAACCTGGCAGCACTAAATCTACCTAAAATAGTGCCACACTTCCTATTACCCCAATATACTGTAAATAAATCTCATAAATATTAATAAAATAGTGTCAATCCCATCAAATAAATAAAAAAACATATGTGTATGTCACTAATAGTATTAGTATATATTAGGGATGTCCCGATACCAATTTTTCAAGACCAAGTACAAGTACCTCCCCTCATGTACTTGCCGATACCAATTACCGATACTTTTTCCTAAAGGGACAGGTGACCTTTAAAAAAAAAACATGCAGACTAATGATTTTAGGCCAATTTCTTTATGATTATGAAGAACTTTAATTTAAGACTGTTTTAGAACAATAAAACATTTGTATTTGCTTTCACACAGCTGTCGTGAAACTACAAATCCGATCATGCATGTGCCTCTAGGATCATTTAACCTATTCATGTTAGCAGGGGAGAAATGTAACTATATTACTGCAGTGTACTGCAAGTGTGTACTATGGATCATTTAACCTGGTACACACTTCCAGTACACTGCAGTAGTAGAGTTACAATTCTGCCCTGCTAACATGAATGGGTTAAATGATCCATAATACAAGTACATGTTAGGTACTATGGATCATGATTTAACCTATTCATGTTAGCAGGGGAGAATTGTAAATCTATTGCTGTAGTGTAGTGGAGGTGTGTGCTGTATAAATGTACTACATATACAGTACACACTGCAGCAATAGATTTACAATTTTCCTCGACTAACATGAATGGGTTAAATGATCCGTAGTACAACTACATGTTATGTACTATTATGTACTATAGATCATTTAATCCATTCATATTAGCAGGGGATAATAGTAAATCTATTGCTGCAGTGTATACTCTATATGTAGTACATATAGAGTACATACTGCAGACAGTAATTTACTATTTTCCCCTACTAATACAATAAATTGTTCTCATGAGGGACCCCAGGCCCTCACTCACTGTTAGTTGCCTCGCTGGTAGGGTCGCGCTGTGTGGGAGAGCAGCGGCGAGTCGGCGCTGGTCCGGTGGGAGGAGCTCCAGGTGGGGTCCTAATTTAGCTGGTCTGCGAATGCTCTCAGGTCCTCTGGACAGTCGCAGGTGTTCAGACGACGCTGAGAACTCATCGACCTTGCGAACCTCTGATGTCGCAGCCGGGTACTGCCAGTAGGTCAGCTACACATAAGGACCTTCTGCGTATGCGTTGCCACTCACTAAAAAAAAAAAATCATAGCGCAAGCTTCGGCGCTATGTATCGGGGCATTTTGACAAGTACAGGTACTTGTCAAAATGCCCTGTATCGGGCCCGATAACGATGCTAGCATCGGTATCGGGACATCCCTAGTATATATAGTACATATGTGATAAAAATAAGTCTCAAAAGAATATCCAAGTGACGTTACAAAAACCAAAAGGAAACATTTCTTCTATTATTTCCTCTGTGTATCCATTCTTCACCAGTGAAACCCTCCACCTATAGGCGCTACACTCACCATAAGGACTGACCACCAGGGCATAGGTAAGACAGATAATCCAGATTTGTAGCCATGGGACCACATAAATATTTCTAATGGTGTATGCTCTTCAGTCTGCTCATGAGAAAAATCATTAACCCAAGTATAAAAGCATCAATCCTCAGATATAAAATAGAGCAACACTTCTCATAGGGATCTATTCATAAGCAATTCACAGAGCCAGAACGGAGGAAAAAATTTATGTTCTTAGTATATTTTCTTTTCAGGTTAAATTTGGAAAATATAACATTTTGGCCACTAGATGGATCAGAGGAGCATAGCACATTAATTCTTTAGATGTCCTTGTCTATAGACACCCCTACATTATGGTAGTTAGTTGTTTTTTAAGGAAATTTAATATTTTATCTTACCTCCCAAGTTTTACATTTTTGAAAAAGTTGATTTCGAAATTTCCACAGTTGTCATCTTCAATGCAGGAACTGTGTGGAAACATTTGGTTACATAACGTTTAGCAGGAGTCCTTGTACCTAGGGAACCTACAGTCCGGTGTACCTACCGTCAAGGAATTTACAATCTGGTACCCTTGCTCACAAAGAACTTACAGTCTTGTGTCCCTGCCCTTGAGAAACTTGTAGTCTCATGTCGCTAACACGGAGGAACTTCCAATCTGCTGTCCTTGAGGAACTTACAGTCAATCCCTCGA